TAATCCAGTTATGTTTAAACATTGATGGTTTGCCTATCAAAAAAAGTTTCTGGCCAATTTAAATTTATTTTAAAATATTCCAAAATTGTACAAAATAGTTTTGCTCTGGGTTTTATCAGTTGGAGTTTACCATGGACCATGGTAAATGAAAAAAACCAAATTGTAATAAACATTTTCTAGATTTTTTTATATTTTAAATAAATACAATTTTACTAAATGGTATTTGAATAGGTACATGATGAAACATTTCTTGTTATATTTCACAAGTTGTTTTTGATTCCCCTGCCAAAGATTTTGTTTTAAATGTGTAAGACCACACAGTTATGATAGTTGTAACTCTTGTTTAACGTTTAACTGTAGGTTCATTTATATACATCAGAATGTGGTTTGATGAAATTAATGCACCTTAGAACAGATGAATATCATATAGGTAGACTGATCACCTATTGACATCACCTCATCATTAGTTTTATATTAAATATTTACATTCATATTGCATACATGTTGTTTGTTTAGGGGTACCTAGTCAAGAGGTTTTTAAAATATTGGGTTAAAGGGAAAAAAATCTGTACAGTTTTTAATAATAGTAATCAAAGGTATCTTTTACATTAATTCGTTTAAAAACATACTTGCCTTCAGATTTTAATATAAGTAGGTACTTCACTCTTGATGAATTGAATTATTAGAAAGTAACCAAATGTCGTACTTTCTTTCTCTGTACAGGAATTATAGCTTTAAAGGATAGATTAAAGAAACAGTTATTTCAACATTCTATACTTTTACATAGTACTATTATACGTCTTGCCCGATTTTATATAAATATATTGACCTTTAGATCAATTTAACTCGTTTAAATATTAAAATTGCTTACAAATATTTAATAATAATCCGTAATTTAACTATTCTTTTTCAAATTGAACTGAATCAATTAAAATATAAGTGCTTTTATTTCCAGTTATCTGAAATAAAAAGTGTGGCACTATCCACTATCATTATTAGGTACCGTCAATCGAGGTGACTTGGAACGGTTTTGACATATTTCTTGTTATTCTGAGCTTAAAAAAAATCGCACTGGACTACAAAAAATACATAAATGTTTGCATACGTCTCATGAATAGGATAAGACCTTTCATTTAGTTTTTTGACCAAAAATGAACTTAAAAAAAAGTAAAAAGTACGTGTTCCAAGTCATCTCAATTTTTGGGTGACTTGGAACAGCTATGAAAATTTAATGTGAAATTCAATTCAAGAACGTTAGAGGTGACTTGGAACAAAATTTTTATTTTTAAAATTAACACAAGAACATGTTAAATAAATATTAAAAAGAAACAGGTTAACTTTACCTTTTTTTAACAGTAAACTAAATATTTAAATAATAAAATATCAATAACATGATAAAAACAAAATAAAAATTCTTTCTAAATAGAAAAACATAACTAAATAGTTCTTCAAAATAAACACAAATACATTTTAAATATCATCGAGGGCCTGTTAAAGTGTTTCGTCACTGTCATTTATATATGTCCGGCTACCCGGTATACGCTCGTATTTGTTTGGCATTTTTGGTGTTCCAAGTCACCCTCAATTTTCTTCTGTAAAATAAAACTTAAGTTATAAAATTAGAAAAAAATGTTTAAGGACTTTTAACTACAAAAGTCTGCTTTTGAAGTGTCCTTTAATGTATAAAAAATATACAAATCTTTAAATTTGACTTCAATCACCAACATTTGAAGCACTTTTGAGAGCAATGATAAAATCGTTGTTATCATAAGAAATGTTTGGTTATTTAATATTTTTTTCGGTGGTAATGATAAGACCAACCACATGGTTGATGATAACATTTATTATCACAAATATTGTAAATTTAATTTAAATGCAGGCAGATTTAAATTATATCATTTTGTTTCATAGATAACCTGATATGTTTAAAAAAAAACCAGGGTGTTTCATTTCACCCTTAGATCATATACTATGGATGGAGCCACTGCGTATTATAGCAATACAAAAAGTTGAAGCCGATATTAGCGACGAGTCACCGAATTAGGTGATCGATATGCGCATGCGCGAAACAACTCGTTTAATATTAATATTATAATCACCAGCTGATAAATATGCGAGAGGTTGCGTTGCGCATGCGCATATCGAACACCTAATTCGGTGACTCGGCTGGGATGGGGACAGTTATAATATTAATATTAAACGAGTTGTTTCGCGCATGCGCATATCGATCACCTAATTCGGTGACTCGTCGCTAATATCGGCTTCAAAATAATATGCAGTGGCTCCATCCATAGTATATGATCTAAGATTTCACCTCAAAGTTCCAAGTCACCTCGATTGACGGTACCTAGGTACCTAAACAAAAATGATTTCATTTTAAAGATTAATTCAAATTTGAATTTCCAGTTAACTTATTTTTTTTTTTGTTAAATAATGAGAAATTCATGAGGCTTCTTGATTTTTTCTTCAAATCTTAGATATAAAAAGAAAAATAATCAACAAATTTTCGTGATTTTGACAAACCTTATCAAAATTCTAACATAAATCTCTACTTAAATATTATTGTGGATTTATGCTCAACTTTTTTTTCGAGTTTCAGTGACAACAACTTATGAGCAACTTAATATGAAATTAATTTAAAGTTTTATGACAGAGTGAACAATTTCTTAGCAACAATAATTGAAAAAAAACTAAATAAAAAATGTCATGCATGGTAGGTACTTCCATAAATAACTAGTCAACATTTTTAAAAATTGAATGAAAAAATGCCATTAAATGATGAAAAAAAAATTCCAATATAAACATTTGGTGAACATTTCATGTATCTACTGTTATATTATTTGTACAAAAACTGGGTTTTAAGTGAAAATTACTGTTTTTCTCGATGCTTTTAAAAACAATAAAGAATTTTCAATTCTGACATCTCAAAAGTACCAACTAGATTCACTTTTCTACCAGAAAAGATACCTACTGATGTTAAAAATTGAACTATAATGATTCTTTTCTATTAAGAAAAAGATTTATAGACAAAAAAAACATTGTGTATACAATGCATTCATTACTCAGCTCAGAATTTAAAAGTGTAGTACCTATTCGTAAGTTTAATATTTTGTTATTTTACATACAATTATAAACTATGATAAATTATTGTTATATATTTTAATATACAATGAAACTCAGCACTCAACAATGCTAATTATTATTAAAATTATTACAGTAATACCTGACTTAAAGGGTACAAAATGATAGGTATTTAAATGTATTTCTACCTGTCTATAACAACCCCTTTCTAGTACAGACACAGACAGTAATATTTCTCTCCAACAGTGGTGTATCTAAGGGGGAATATAGGGGGTCATATCCACCCCCGGAGACACAATACAACATGACGTATATATAATAATATGTGTATACTGAATGTCTATTAAAAAATTGATATCATCCCCTACCCACCATAAAAAAATCCTAGATACGCTACTCCTTCTGATAACAGAAAATAATATTAGGCTGAATTTAAATATAATTGCATGCGTATGTACAAATACTAAACAAGACAATGCTGCTTGCGGTTACATATATTCAGGCCTTGACAGTCAAGGTATAGTTGGTTAAGACTGATTAAATACTCCGATATGCTAGTATATTTATTATTATGTATGTAGGTATCCGGGTATGTTTAATTGACCATTGATGTATGTGTGTACTTCTAATATATAAAATTCTCGTGTCACGATGTTAGTTACCATACTCCTTCGAAACAGTTTGATCGATTTTTATAACATTTTATATGCATATTCAGTAGGTTTGAGAATTGGTTTCTAACTATTCTGCATACCCCTAAGTGATAAGGGTTGTTCAGAAAAAAATAAAAATAAAAATAATATTTTCATTAAAATAATAGTAGTGTATTATATATTGGTTAACCGGGCCAGGCATGTTTGTTAATTTGTATTATTATTTTTTGTCAATATAAATAATATATAAATGAATGTTTGTGTGTAGATTAGACCTCTGGGAAGAAGAAAAAAGGGTTAAATTCGTTTTTTTTATTTATTCATCGGATTTTAGTATGGTTAGGTTAGATTAGGATTTTGTATTAATTGATTATATTAATCCACCGTAGGTGGAATTAAGTAAAAACGACAATCTTGGTATAACTTTGATACTTGAGTTAAAACATACACTTACGTACAAACAGCATGGGGTCTGCGTAGATTGCCTATTTGATAATATGTACTGTTGCGAATCAGAGTTTTTATCCCGGCAACAGAAAAGTTAGGATAAATCTAGAACATCATACACTAAATACTAAACAATGCATTGAACAAAGTTTGAAACATATACAGTTTGTACATTTAACGGGTAACGAAGTGCACGGGATCAGCTAGTATACATATATATATGTATTAATATTTACCATTAACAATTTTTCATTAAACAAATATGTATAATATGAGCTTGACTAAAAAAATACTTAAGCCTGTCTATAACGGACATTTTTAACAGTCCCGAGACTACAGATTTAACTGTATAATAATAATTAAGATATATGTTTCAACTTTCTTCATAAACTAATAAACTATTAAGTAAATCAAAATTTAACTTAAGCTGTTATATAATATACTTTCATTAAATTTACTAAAAGTATGTTTAACTATTGATTTAAATAAATAAATAAAAAATATTTTGTAACAATCTAAATTATAAGATCTAACTTAGTTGATTTTATAAAACAAATTATGAATTAATTCTAAAATAATTCATGTTTCATTCTAAAATAATAAATAACTGATTTAGTAAAATATTCTAAAACTCTTCCATATTGTTTATGCTAAATAAATAACTATTCTATAGTTTAATGCAAAACTTGTTTGGTTTGCAAAACACCAAAGTACTTTAATCATATTATAAATAAATAAACAGCAAAGTTTCTAGTAATGTAAAATATATTATATTGAAGAGACATTTTTATTACATAATTGTTATCATCTTCAATTTATTTATTGACCATCTTCTTGTTGGATTGATTTTACCACGTTTTTTTGAGACTAAATGAAAAAAATAACAATACATATTATAATTATAATTAGTAAAATAGCTAAAAAACACATAAACTGTAACTTATAAGTTATATTAATTTATATTTATACAAGTTATATACAGGATGATTCTTTTATCATTAAATACTCATTAATTCAAGAAGTGTAAATGTTTTTGAAAATATTATTTTCCATAGTTTCAAGTTGCTTACAAAATAAAGTTTTTTAAAAAAATTATATTTTCTAATATTTTTTATCCTTATACTTTTTTGAATGATAACATACAGTTTTAATTTCATATTCCAAAGCATAATACTTAGACAAATATTGTGCTTTGTATTATGAAGTTAATACTCTATGTTACAATTCAAAATAGTTAAAACTTCAAAAATTATTAGCACAAAAAAACATTTGAAAATATGTAAAATAATATTTTAAAAAACATTTACACTTCTTAAAATAATGATCGTTCAATGATAAAAGAATTACCCTATATATTAGATTTGGTGTTTATATTTCAGATAAGTCATCAGTGTTTGCACCAATGGGTGAATAGGCCTAAGGATGTTGTGACATAATATAACAAACTGTTAATTTTTTTTTATTAACTATTACACTCAATAATATCTATAAGTTAACAAGGAATTTTATATTTTTGTGTCAAATTAGTCACTAATTGCCTTATCCAAAATATAGGTATATCAATGTTTTAATCAAATATGTAAGAATTACTATCTTATTATGATTAACCTTTTTAATTTAAATTTAGAGATCTAGGTATATGATATAGTTATCTAAGTTTAAAATAATGAGAGAAAGAGTTTCCTAAAATTGTATGGTTACTAGAAATGGCAACATAAAAAAATACAGGAACATAATGGTACATCTGGAATAGTGAAAAGGTTAACATTAATATGAACAGACTAATAAAAAATGGCCTACTTACCATTTCATCCAAAAAACCGATGATGCGTTGGTTTTTCATGACAGTATTTTGTTCGTCAATCCGATCTTCAATTATTTGCATACAGTAACGACATAAATATGTTGACTTGTTATCGTGGCGCGACATCTAAAAATACAAAATTAATATTATTACATAATACACAATATTATTTAAGTATCAAATTAGTTATTAAACACATTCTAAAAGCCAAAGTAAGACACATTGACATTTGTCGATCACTAACACCTTTTTTTAAACATGAATTAATAGGTTTCAGATCAGAGTCAATTCAAAAAATGTAACGACTATAATGTGGTTTAAAATAAATAATACCTACAATCAGTGGCGGCTTGTGCCTTGCCATTTTTTGAAACGATAATGCGCTAACATGCATTTGATGCATTATAAATAGGTACTCCTATAAATAATATATTATAATTAAGCTTAATTTTTTTGTTGAAACTATTGACATTATTTATCTCAACATTGGTAAGTTTAATACTTACTCGACAATTTTTCAAATTTAAATTTAATATGATCACTGTTTATTCATTATGATTTTCTTAAATAAAATTATAATTCAATATATATCTTTAGTCATTATGGTTGGAGTACGAAAACGATATATATTTTTCAGTACTTATTTGTTATCTAGAATACCTTACCGGTAGACTCAATTTTGTTATAGTCTACCACTGTGTTATATTCTTTTAAGATAATTGTTTATCTTGTTTATCTTTACTCTACAAGACAAAATAATAAAGGTACATTTTCCCGACGAAACTTAGAAGAAATTGCTATGACTTTTTATGTGGGCCATGGTACATATTATTTCAGGATTAACATCCTGTAAAAAAAGTAAGCAGGTAACTTATGTGTGTTTGTTATAGGGAATTAGGTTGCCCGGATAGCCTTACAAATTAAATTTTGTTAGGCAGACCTAACAGTAACACTTCGCTAAGACGGAATCGCTTGGGGCTGTCCAATTTTTCCGTCTTGACGATGTTTCCGATTTTATGGGGTTCACACTAACTATGTAGTCGGGACTCAATAAATTGTCCATGTTACAAGGATTTCTTTCTTACCAAAGTTTTATTGTATATTGTATTGTCTTGATCATAACAAAACTGTCTTAAAATAATATAACGCAGTGTTAACCTGTGATAGACACAATGACATAATTGAGTTTACCATATATTGTATAGATTGTCGAGATAACCAAAAGTACAAAGGAACCTATTTTTCTTATGATAAAAGTATGTGAAGGGATCAAGGTGTATATACCGTGGAAGGACTGGAAGGTATAAACAAAACATACCTATGATTCAACAATTAAATGTACTTACACTGACTTGAAAATATTCTTTGACACGCTCAAACCACTTTTCAATATTGGCCTCATCCATTTTCAGAACGTCAACTAGTCTTTTTGTGAAAAGACAGATGCGGCAAAATTTCCCAGTATTCATAGAATGTACACTGAGCGGTTTGTTTGTCTGTTAGAAACAAAACAATGAATCAATAGTTTAAACAAAATTCGGTAAACTGAAACAACTGAAGTATTTACGCTGAAGTTCAACGGCATTTTTGAGTTCAGGATATTGTAAAATATTAGTACGCAGACGAATGCAAACCAGACGAGCAGCCAGTGAAGTAGTGAAAAACGAACAGCGAACCAGCGAAGTGCCAAATTGTGGCGACTGACGACTGGTAATATTATATTATTATTATGAATCGTGTCTTTACTATTTTATGAACGGCCAATGAGAATCAGTAATTTTGTTTATTGTATTGCTGTAAAGCTAGGGCCCTTATTTCTAGGCCTACTCGTATCGGTATACGGTAACAGCTAAAACCGCGGTCAATTGATAAGGTAGCGTCTCTCACGGACTAAGATATACTTATATCTTAGTCCGTGGCGTCTCTAATATTATTGTTCGAAAAAAAAACTACAGCTGATAGCCATCACCATTGGCGGCACTGGGTGCGCGCGGCTTAATGCTCTACGAACGCTGATAAAATAATATGGACGCGATAACCATACAAATATTATACCGTTATGACCATGGCTTAAGATAAACAGGTTACGAAACCACCTATTAAAACTATACAACAGAAATGATGCTCAAAGATTCTCGAATATAAACAGCTGATGGTTTGTGTGAGAATAGTAGCTAGCGTTCTTGCGGCCAAAAACAATTTTATTTATTATCAATGTTATCTTTAAACATTTACCCGCGAATTTTTATTGATGGATATTTGGCATGACATATTATATATATTATATGTCATATTTGGGATTTGGAATAAAGATTACAATACAATACAATCCTCAATAGTTTTCTTTTGTAATATTGCACCAATTTCCATTTTTCATCGTTTTACTTTTTGCCTTTTTAGTAGTTTATTTTGTACTATATTTTCCTTTATTCCAATATGGTTTCCAACAAGTGTTGTGTTCCTGGGTGTAGTAAAAATGCTGCATCTAAATTTGGTGTTCCTAAAAATATGATGAATGTCTGGGAAAATATTATTGGGTGTCCTTTAAACAGGAATTCAAGAGTTTGTGCAAACCATTTTAAACCTAGTGATATTACATCAACATGGGAGTCTGGTAATGGTAGTAGCCAAATCTCGGTATGTTCTATTGAAATATATACATTATACATATAAGTAAAAATGAATAGATAATAGGTAAATTTTTTTAGATTTGTTTAAGAAAGCCACGGTTAAAATCTGGAGTTATACCAATTAATAATTTAAGTGATGAAGTAAATGACATAAACCAGGTTAGTTTAGGAAATAGTATAGATATATAAATATATTAATAGTTCAAATATTTTATTTTTACTAATTTAAAAATATTATTAGGTGAATGAAACAATGACAATGCTTAACGAACATAATTATTCTAAAGTTAATCTAAATGATGAGTTTGAACCACCACTTGCCAAACGAGCATGTATTGAGGTTTGAATAAATTATAATTTTAATAACATTGACAAAAGTAAATTAAAAATAAATTTATTTTAAATGCCCAGTTATCTGACAGTGTAATTGAATCAATATCTGAGGTAGTAATTCAAGATAATATATTGATAAATGATGAAAGTTCAATTTCACTACCCATGAATTGGTTTTGTGATGTTACTACTAATAATGGATCTGTTATAGCAAAAACTTATTTTATTCTCAGTCCATTTCAAATATACAATAAAAGAGTTGTGGAAAAACGATTAGTTATATTAAAAGGTATTAAAATAAGTAAACAATAGTTACATCTACATCTAAATGTTTGTCATAATGACTAGTATCGTGGATAATAATTTATCAGTTAAAAAAAAAATATGTGTACTTCGAATACTAACTTAACTTTACCATAAAAATATATTTATAGATTCTGAGCCAACATTTTACATTAATGAGAAACAAATTAAGTTATCACAGGTTGGAATAAATAATTATGATGAAACATTGAATATTGAATACATGCTAAATATACTTGTAAAAGTTAATGTTTGTCGAGGTGTAAAAACTGACAAAAATGTAAAAACTTCTTTTGGTTCTCAATTTATAGAATTTAATGGTCACTGGAAACATGCGAATTGTTTAAATATTATAGAAGATGGAGCCAGGTATTAAATTCTGAAATATTTTAAATTTTCCTTAATAAATTAATTTTGAAATAATAACATTTCTAATTTCATTCTGTTTTGAATAGTCAATTATGTGTATGGTGTAATAGATTAAAATACACCATAAATAAAAAATTCAAAATATTGTCAGCTGGAAAGTCTTTAAGAGTACCTTTAACACCGAGCAAAAAAAGCAAATTCAAAAAAATTCTTAAATCCAAAAAAATTGCAAGCCAAAAGTTTTCGAGAGCGCATAAAACAATTAAAAATTTGAAATTGCAGTTGAATAATATCAAAACTAAAATATCCCAAGTCTCATCAACCACATTAAATGAAATAATTCAGAAATCTAATTTATCTGACTGTCAATCTAATTTAGTCAATGAAATTTTTAATGCTGCTAAAGTTAAATGTAAGAATCAGAGAAGGTATAGCGATAACTGGATTCTATTATGCTTAATTTTACAGATTAGGTAAGTTATTACAAAATATAATAATATGAATAAATATGAATCATACAAATTAATAATTTTCAGAAGCCCAAGTGGATATAGATTTCTGAGAAACCAAAACATACTTCCACTTCCCTGTGTAAAAACTGTTAGAAAGTATCTTTTGGCAATTAATAATGAATGTGGATTTGACCTTAATTTCTTTAAACTTCTGAAAAAAAAAATGTTGAGTAAAAGTGACTATCAAAAAAAAGGCATTTTACTATTAGATGAGGTATATTTGAGATCAAGTATATCAGTAAACAGCCGTACTTTAAGTTATTCAGGATTGGAAGATTTTGGAGGAGAACTTCCAAGTAGAGACACTGAAAAAGCAGATCATGGTTTGGTATTTATGTGGTCTAGTCTTGCAGATAGTTTTACACAACCTATTGCAGTTTTTGCCTCCAAAGGTCCTGTAAAAGGTATATAAATTATAATTGATAAGAAAAATTCAATTTTAATATACTAATATTTAAACAATTTTAAGGAATGGATTTGACCAAATTAGTAGTGAAAGCAATAATGTTATTAGAGAACGCAGGAGCACAGGTTTTGGGACTAACTACTGATGGGGCCAGTACAAATAGGACCATGTGGAATAACTTAGGCATTTCAGGAAAGATAGGGAATACAAATAATAGTTTTTGTAATCCATTTGATGAAACTAGAAAAGTTTTTGTTTTTAGTGACGCACCTCATCTCATTAAGACGATACGTAATCGCTTATACGAAAAAAAATGTTTAAAGGTAATATAAATACATAAAAAGGTTTTTTATATACTTACATTATGTGTTATAAATTTAGTTGGATCCTTCCAAACCATTAGTAAAATGGGAACATTTTTCTGAAGTGTACAGGCTTGATGAGAATAAACTAGGGAAAGTATGTCCAAAAATTACTAGGAATCACATATATTTAACTAATTTGTCAAAAATGAAAGTTAAGTTTGCAACTCAGGTAAATATGATATCTAATTTAAAAATGTTTTAAATAATAATGCTATTAAAAATTATCAACTAATTTTAATACTTATGTTAGCTTTTCAGTAACTCAATGGCTGTAGGTATACAATTTTATAGAAATAGAAATGAAAAAAATCTTATACATTCTGAAGAAACAGAACAATTTACCTTGTTTATAAATAATTTATTTGATGCGTTCAATCGTAAATTTCCTGCAGAAGGAATCAGAAAAAATTCTTATGATTTTGAGGTTTTTCTTTATGTTTAACAAATATTTATGTTTGTTGGCACTTGACATTAGGTATAGCTGTATTGTGTTCTATGTTCAAATCTTTATGTTGCATGATGCTTTTGTGGTTTATCGTTCAAAACTATAATAATATAAAAATAGAGTAATGTTAAAGTAACATTTTTATATACTGTGTACTATTAGAAAAACTTTGTGGGAATATTTTTACTTAATATTTTATTAATTAATTCATGCCCATTTTTCAAATAATGTACTTAGATTCTTGAAAATGCAATGAAATGGTTAGATTCTTGGGAGTCAAAAGTTATAGATGGACTCATATCTTCAAATGAATTTTTAACTCAGCAAACAGCTGATGGATTGAGAGTAACAATTAAATCTAGCATTGAACTTTCAAAATATCTGTTGGACAGTTGTAATTTTTCATTTGTATTAACTGCTAAAATGAATCAGGATAAACTAGAAGTATGAAATATTTAATTTTAAAGATTGACCATCTTACACTTACTAACATATATTATTTAAAGAAATTTTTTGGTATAATACGTCAAGTTTCTGGTCCTAACGACCACCCGTCTACACCAACATTCTTACAATTATACAGAATGTTGACTGTATCTTCTCTAATAAAACCACCTAAAAGTGGTAACTGTACAGTTGATGAAGGTAAATAATTTAAATGGGTATATATGATCTATAATAAGTACTTTATATATTTACTTACATACTTTCAGTCCAAAAACCGGTACTTGATATTTGCGACTTTAAAAATCTTATTTCAAATGAATCATTGCGTGAAGAAAAAATTAAAAACATGAAGAGTAAATTAGACTTGATAATTGAAGATAAGAACTGGGACTGTGAAGACATATTTTTAGAGCACGATTATACAAAAAGTTCAGTTTTTGAATGCGTGGTTTACTATTTAGGAGGGTAAAGATGATAAATCAATATTATTTCTTACATAAATGTCTAATAAGTTTTTAATCAAATCTGCAGGTATTTAGCTAGACGACTGTGCAAAAAGTCCAAGTGTGAAGTATGTATAAAAAATTTAAAGAATGATGGTAACTTAGGTATGGAATCAGAGTTGGTAAATTTAAAAAGTAAAGGATTTTTAACTCATCCTAGTGGTAACTTATATAAAATATTAAAAGTATTGGAAACTTGCTTTTGTAAACATGCAAGTGCTGGTGATGTCTTTGAAAATACTTATAATGAATTTTTTCTTCATGTGACAAGC